TCGATGAATGTAAAAGCAGCAACGATGTCTGTGACAAGAATGCAAACTGCTCCAATACTGTTGGGTTTTATAATTGCACCTGTAAAGAAGGATTTACTGGGGATGGACACTCATGCTCAGGTAGAAAATTATCGTGACGCTATGGTACAATATTATATAATAAGCTCAGTTATGCACGCATTCTGATTGGTTCTCACCTATGATCTATTGGAGGACAGACCTATAGATGACGTCATCACATTTTGACGTCCTCTGTGATCTATTACTGAACAGACGCACGGCAACTTGGAATCTATTTGTTAATTCGATTCTCATGCGTAAATCATTCAAGGAATCTTTGCTAGCATTGACTTCTTTTGATTACTTTCCAATCAGATATAGATGAATGCAAAGGCAGCAATACTGTGTGTGACGTAAATGCGAATTGTACCAACACTGAAGGTTCTCACAACTGCACCTGTAATGAAGGATACATTGGCGATGGTAAATCATGCCAAGGTATGAAATAGTAGCTTGGGCATCCAACAAATGATACAAAATAATCAAAAGAATTTTCCCAATTGAATAATTTGTAATTAATTTGATTTGAACCTTCATTGACTTTTCATACGCGTGAACTCCTTACTGATTAATCCAACGAAGTAATGTTTGCTTCAGTCGAGGAGTGCCAAAGTTACTCAAGTCTGACCAGTGCCGACCGTAAATCCACAATCCCTAAAGCCGGGTCTGCTTTGTGCGATAACTCACTCCCCCATGGCTGGTATCGTTTCCAAGGAGCTGCAGGAACAAAAATGCCAACCACTTGTCCACCAACTCATAGGTGTACAGCTGATATCTCAAGCTGGTTAAATGGAGTTCATCCCACAGTGGCTGAGGGTCAAGTTAACAGGCAGGTCTGCTTTCACTGGTCTTCAAACTGTTGTAGATGGTCCACCTACATCCAAGTGAGAAACTGTGGCTCTTATTACGTATATTACTTCTCTGGAGTACCAACATGTAATACCCGTTACTGTAGTACGGAATAGCTGTAGTGTATTGGGACAGCGGTAATTCGCAAATATCCGGGAACTTAAAGGTGTGTGCAAGAGCGTATGTTTTTAAGCCTTTGTAGTGTACCTTTGTGGCTTCACTACACTACTACAATATCTTTCTCTTGTTCTGAAGCAAAGCGCTGATGCAACTTTACAGTAAATACTATAGGGATCTGTTTTGTTTATCATCGATCCCTTTTGGCGCCTTTAAATTTCTAAAGTTTTGGTGTTCCGTATTCCCATGTTTAAGTTTGTTTCTTGGTTAACTTACCTTCAAGCTTCCAGTAGTGATTGAAATGAAACATCTTCTAACAATTTTAAAAACATCACCCAGCAAAAGTTGATGAAACTACGAAAATATATTCACTAATTTATTATCAATTTTTGTTGAGACACCTACTTCACTGCAAAACCTCATGTAGACAAAAATAGAGAATTACCAGACAAATCACTTTAAGTTAAAGAGTTAAACAGCTCAACCAGCTTTACAACCAGAGTTTGTAATGCAATAGTCATCGAATCTATTCGTTTGATAGTTTACAGGGGAATTGGAATACAATAGAAATAACAAGGAAGATGGTGAAATTTGAGCTTGGTCGTGAAGGAAAGAAATATGCTTTTCGTTTTTTCCTTAGGCGTGAGCTAAAGAAAAGATCTAACTCTCCACGATGAGTCGACCCGCGCAACCGAGATTAATTTTAATGATACTTAGAGAATAGGCGAGGGGTCAATTCTGGCTGGCCATGAGCAGATTTTCCGTGCAAAATATCAAAGGATAACATAAGAAACAACCACAGTCTAGCAAAATGAGCAAAAGAAAAAGTGAATCGTTAACAGAAGTCTGTAAAAGGAAAAAAAAGTGGAGGAAAGGAAAACTCCAGAATTTTTAAGCACGTGTATCCTGTTGATTAACCATTTACTTTTGACCTTTACCAAAGAATTCATACGCTTTTAAAACACCGTGAATTACTTGTTTGTCAGTTTTTTACTCAACTGAAACATTTTGCTTCTGACAGCCTGAACATACGCCACCTGGTTCTTAAAATGGCCATGCATACGCAGACGTTTGAGCACTGCGTTAATATTTACCACCTTTCTTAGGATACGCGTCATAAATTAAATTAATTATGGTCTATTCAGATTTGTCGTTTGTCCAACGCTTGTATTGCGAACGAATTACGTCTTTCATTAACTATTTACACCCTAACATCAGTATGCATATTCTCCACACTGTTCTTTATACATTTCGTAAGGTGCTGACAAGGAGAATTTGTTTGCCAATCAAAAGGTTCCTTCCTTAGTGACCATTTCCTTTATTCTCGTGACCTTGATGTGCGATTCAGAAGTGATATTGTAAGGAGAAATTAGATGCTAGTCACTCTTAGGGTTTAAAGGGTTAACGTAAGAAATGTTGGTGATCGTGACCTTCGGATGAAATACTGGGAAAGGTCCGTAAAGGAATGATCTTCGCCTATGAGCCGCCACAATTGAAGAAATTGCAGAAGGCACGGATTCAAATCCCGTCGAAGTCTGAATTTTCAAGGCTCCATTTCTGCAATTTCACAATTGTAGCTCACTTGTAAAGATTATTTCTATACATGATAGTTTTTTTTTATTGGGGACCTTAAGCAGTCAGGACGGCAACGCCAAGGAAGACTTCGATTTAAAAATACATTTCTGCCTCTAGCTACAATTTCAAAAATGGCTCTATGTGTCTACCGTCTCATACGGCGCCACACCTTAACTTCACCATAACGTATAAAAGAAGCGTTGAGTTCCAAATGGAAATTAAAATAGTTTGCCGTCGCGGTTTTGGTGATTTCACGTTGCTGTTTTGTATAGGACGGCTCAGAAATGTACAAACGCACGTGCTGAGCTATTGTTCTGCTCATTATATCGCCGTCGTGGTTTGCTTAAGGTCGCTATTATGAAACGGAGACCAACACATCCCGTTAATAAAAAAAGAAGGAATATGCCATGTATTGTATTTTATAGCGTTCAGTCTTTCTTGAATTAAAGGTTGGGAATTAGCAATTGGACTATTTTAAACTCTGTTAACCCTAAGCAATTATGGTTGAATGACCCAATCACCCAAGTAAGTTCTTGGAGCCAAACCAACACATTCCACTTGGCGTGACAACTTCTGTTTGCCTCCAGAAGCTCTTCCATTGAAAAACAAATTGTCACATACTTGTTATGCATTATAGAATTTTAAGAGAGAGAGAGACAGAGATAGAGAGAGTACTCCTATCGAGGCTCAGTCAAAAGCCTAGCGAGATAAAATACTGTTCATCAAGCCTCACTTTTCAAACAGTTTCTCCTCACCTGTAGCAAAGCTCATGATTAGGAAACAGAGTGAAAAAATTTGAATGTTGATCTTAAGGTCAAAATTGAACCCGGCAGGCCGATTGTGGAGACATCCTCTCACCTTGAGGCAAGATGCTTCGATCGATTTTCTCACATCTACGCTGTGGAAAGGAATTTTAGAATTCTGAAATAGTGAATTTTTAACGACCATGAGTTTCGCGTGCGTTAACTTTCGGTGTCAACGTGACAGAAAGGAAGTTAATCAGTACTTTTGTCAACAAGCGATTTGCATGTCAGTATCATATTTCGTACGTGTCTCGGCTGGTTCCTTGGCATCACTCTGCCAAACAAACATAAGCATTACATGTAAGTTCAATTCTAACAACGTCTCGTTATGTCCAAAAAACAAGATCGCTCTTCTGTTGGTGATCTCCCCAGCTGTTCACCTAAGTTTGTTTGTCCAGTATCGTTCGTATGTTTATTAATCTGCACCGCTGCCTTGGTTCGTGTTGAGATCATAAACTAGCGAGTTCATCTCGTTGAAGATGTCATAGCGGAAGTGAGGCAAATACATGAATCCATTATTAAGGATTCTAGTGAAGGAGCAAGCTTCCAAGACTCTGGAAGGACTGGTTCTGTCGGGAACTTTGATAGCAATATTTCTAAGGAGAGCAAAGATATGATCGAAGGTAATTTTTTTCCTCTAATCAACTTACAATTTAAAGGATCCTCGAGCTTATCCAAAGCTATTGCACTACCTTTTGCTCTCAGTTTATTACATGCCAGTACCGGCGATTTTGTCTATCTTAATGATACGAAATAAATTTTTCCTGGCGAAATATTTTCCACTCCCTCAATTTTTTTTCCGGGAGCTTTCTTTGGCGATCATGGTCACAAAAGTCCAAGAGCAATTGAAAGGATCAACATCATGCAATCGATCGTTCAAAGTACTTCCTTTTTCCCTCTACATCTATAATTTGGATCAATTTTTCGATTAATTTTTCATGATTTAATTGTTATACAGCTAAGCCCTCCAAGAATATAAAGGGTCCATCGTTGATTGAATAATTGGCAAGAGTAGGACGTCTGCTATTTATCGTGATAGCAGCACAAAAAGGTCAGGGATGGCGGAGCGTTTTGAAACTCGAGGGGATTGGGGGTAGGGGTGTTCATCGAAGACCATGCTATGTCCTTACTCAAATTTCCCAAGATACCATCCACGTCAAACCTCTGGCACCCTTGTGCTGAATGTGTTACATTCAAGAGAGCAGTTCTGATTGTGGTGTTTTCAGCCCCTTTTTTTTTAAACTACTGAATAAACGTGAAGTGTTCTTGCGTGACTCAGGGAAAAGTTGAGCCTTTTTCAGGTTCTCGTTCAAAGGAGGCTATAGAAAAAGTGAGAAAACGAAAATCGGTGATTGCCCGAGAAAAGGTGGTCTCCTTTCGCTAATTTTCAGCGACCGAAGGTTTACAGGGCTTAGCAAAAACCGGGTAACTGTTAGTTAGAAGAATCCGTTTTGGAACCAAACTTGGTTTAATGAATAAACCGCTTTTTAGATTTTTATGTAGTGAAGAGATTTGAAAGTGTTCCCAGCTTTAATTTTCAAATACTTTTTGAAAAAAAACGAACAAATTCTTTCCAGTTCACACTAGAAGAACCCGTCGCCACTCTTCATCTCAAAAACGACCTATCCCTGACGGAGTTACTATAGAGGTGGTTAGAAGTGAGATAAACAAGACCATAAGCTCATGGTCACCACAATCATTTTGTTCGCCCAAAGAACAAATATGTGCACAGGGACCACCGGGATTGCAAGGACCTAAAGGATCACGTGGAAGGAAGGGTCCGCGTGGATCTACGGGAAGGAAAGGGTTACGTGGTTTTAGAGGAGAACCAGGGCCTTCAGGAAAGCAGGGAAATATCGGACCGCCGGGTCAAAAGGGTGCGCAGGGTGCCAAAGGTATCCCTGGTCTCAGGGGTCCACCCGGTACTAAAGGAGAACCTGGGGAATCCATTTCTCTCCCCTCAGTTGTCGTTTCTCCAGTTAAGCAAACAGTCAGAGAAAATCAAAGAGCAGCGTTCCAATGTTCTGTCAGTGGAAATCCTCAACCGACTATGATGTGGGTACGAGGAAATGGTACTCATCTGCAAAGTGATTCTCACCTTGGCGCTCGGGGTGGGAGATTAGAAGTCCATAGCGTGACTCTTAGCGACGCGGGAAAATACACTTGCGTTGGAAGGAATATCTTGGGTTCCGAGAGCAAGTCTGCGAAGCTAATTGTTGAAGGTAGGAATAGGTATTGACGGTATTGAATGTGAGAGTTAAGCATAAACGAATCTTTTTGCTTTGTTTTCCTCCAGGGTGATATAGCAGTTCTCAGCAGTCTTCCGCGCTTCTTGAATTATTTTGCATGAAAATCCATTGAAAGAATTACGGATGCAAACTTTTGGATGCAATTTTTGGATGGAAATAATTGAATGGAAACATTTGTTTTATGAACATTTTAGTTTCGTGACAAAAAAAAAAAACATGACAGTAAAGTTCGCCAATGCGAATTAGTTCTCATGTTAAAGTATTCTGAGTTTTCATTAGCTGACTCCGGCCCGGTATCATTTCGAACTCAGTGGTTTAGAGAGAAAAATACTTTCGTCCTTCAATCAAACCCCGTAGTTCAGTCCAATTTATTTCAACTCAGTTTGATTAACATTTTTGTCTTGCTAGCCAATCGATTGGTTTGGTCCTGCAATATATCGCTCATAAAGCGAGATATGCGATGGTTACCGACAAGTGAAAGTACATGGAACATCTACTACATCAAATATTTTCCCTTCCAATTCTTTCTTTCTATCGCTGCAGGAAAAAAAAATGGGTGTGAATTTATTTTGTTATCTATTTCTTACTATTTTTTAATATCAATTATTTAATTCACTTCCATTTAGCCAAACCACAAGTTCAACTTGCGTCAGGACCCATTCATGCAAGGGAGGGACAAAACATTACTTTACCCAAATGTCACGTGACCGGCTTTCCGAAGCCAGTCGTGTCGTGGAAAAGATTGACTGGTGCCTTAGCTAAAAAGAGAGCAGTTTATAATCAGCAAGATTTGACAGTGATTTATGTGGGAAAAAACGACACTGGACCGTATGAATGTAGAGCCAGGAACCATCTCGGAGAAGCCTCCGCAGTTACGACCTTGTTTGTTTGGTCGGCACCAAAATTTGTCACAAAGCCACCAGACATGGCCACTAATGAGGTTGGTGGGTCAGTGTCTCTTAACTGTTCCGCCATAGGCGAGACTGTTCCTCTGATTTCTTGGAAACGAGCAGCGGGGGCATGGGACGAAAAGAGAATGAAGGTAGACAAAGGAACCCTAACTATTTCGGTTCTGAGAGAATCAGACTCAGGAATTTATGTGTGCGAAGCCAAAGGTCCCCAATTTACAATTGAGGCAAGAACATTTCTGAAGGTGAAAGGTTAGTTGAACAGCATTCCATATTGTTGTTTTTAACATACATGTTCGGCACACACTCTTTGGCGGTATCACGCGATTTCATCCTTTTCTTTTCGGTTTTTCTGTGCACTGAATTTTAGTTAAAAACGTTAAATCTTTCCTAACTGCTTCTTAAATGAAACCCTGTCAGCTGAATGACGACCAAACTGGAACAGTAATTGGAACAATTTTTTCCACACGAGTCCGGTTAACGTAATTGTAAAGGAAATTGAACCCTCTTATTTTAATTACCGAAATCTCAGCTCGCCATGGTGGCAGGCCAGGCTGCATTCCCATTAGTCTGAAATGAACTCAGAATTAATACAGGTAATTTAGTGTTAACAACTGGGTTGAAAACGTAAATTAGCCACCGTAAAAGGAAAAAAAAAGCTGACGTTTCGAGCGTTAGCCCTTCGTCAGAGCGAATTCGCCTGACGAAGGGCTAACGCTCGAAACGTCAGCTTTTTTACCCTTAACGGTGGCTAATTTGCGTTTTCAACCCAGTTGTTAACACTAAATTACCTGCTATACTCTCCCACCGACGCAGCACCACAGTTTCTTTAGAAACTTACCCCTTTATTCAGAATTAATACCACTGATTGAGCTGGCGCAGTTACTTGTGAACAGGCCCTATTTTTTGCGCCAGGCCGTTTCTTAGTATGCAACATATGAAAATTCAAACAATTTTTTCTTCAATCTTAAATGTTTAGGAAATTCTTGATATATAATTTTTTTGTTGGAGTGTTGTTTGTCCGAGTGTGGTGCAACTATAACCAAAGTAATAATGGCCAGGGATGGTCAATCACTTATCGGATATTATGTCATTTTCTTAAAGCTCCCCTCTCGTTTACGCCTGATGACCGTAAAGGACGACTTGGTATCATTCAAAAATTCACCGTCCCAAGATCAGCCAAGTATCTCATTAAAGCTTTGGGCGCTCGGGGAGGGACGATTCCTACGACTATGGATACAGACCAGGAACCTATTATGGCGGCCATGGGGCAGCGATAGAAGCGACGTTTAGACTGACCAAAGGCACTATTCTAAGTATTGTTGTAGGGCAGAGAGGAGGAGATTCAGTGGAGGTAAAAGGTGGTCAAAGCACTACTATGACAGCAGCTCAGCTTGGGCTGTCTGTTGAAGACAATGCTGGCACTGGGGGAGGGGGAGGGAGCTTTGTTTATACCGCAACCAATGTGCTGATGTTAGCTGCCGGAGGAGGTGGAGGCGCATCTGGTGGATATAATGGTGTGGACGGTCAGGCAGGAACAAGTGGAACCAGTAGTGTGGGGAACGATCCGTCACATGTGAAGAAGGGTGGTACCACGGGGCAACCAGGAGAATGTAACAATGATGACGCTAACTACCATGGGGGAGTGGGTGCGGGTTGGAATGGCCAAAGCTGTTCAAGAAAAGGATCTGAGCACGGAGAGGGAGGTGGGTCACGTGCTCAGGGCTGGATCGGAGGTCAAGCAGGAGGTATGAACAGTGGAAATAACGGCGGACCAGCACCAGGAGCAGTGGGAGGGTTTGGTGGAGGAGGAGGAGGAGCAGAGGATAACGGTGCATCGGGTGGAGGGGGAGGGTACTCAGGTGGGGGCAGCGGTACCCGAGATAAACAGGCCGGAGGGGGAGGCGGTTCGTATTGCGCCGGTGAAAATTGCCACGGTGTGACTGGCGGCAATGTAAATGAAGACGGCCTGGTGCAAATTATAGTTATATTCGACTAGAATCAGTAATCCGATATCTTCTAAGTTCCATTTTAATTGATATCAGCTTTGAGCTGTTTTGAGTGATGCGAATAGACTGTTCTACAAAATATAGCGTCGCCAAAGAGCCTTGCTGAGATGACATCACAAGAATTTACACCGTAAAAAGACTTTCACTTGAAATAGGACTTGGAACAGTTCAGAACTTTCATTTTTAGGAGAAACATGAGAGCGAGTGAAGAATACCGTCTATCATGATTTGAGTGCCACTCAACGGTCCGTATCTCTTAAAATCGTTTCATTTCTGAACTTTGACAAGGACGCGTGGAAAGTAGCAAACAAAAAAAATAGGAGTAGATAAGTATATGCTTAAATGAAATAAAA